ATCAATGAAATGATAATGGACTAATTGTTGGACTCAATTGTGAAATTGGTAGAATCAAAAGAAATTGAAAAATGCAAAATTTGATTTTTTGTCTATGCTTACGCACATACTTAATTTTGTGCGTACACGAGATGTATTTTGGCAAAATCAGAATTAAATTTGCTTTTACTATGCGTACGTAATGTTTATACTATGCGTACGTATCTACTACCTCTTAAAAGAGAAGCTTTAATATTACTATTCATTTATGTCACATTGCTTTTCACACTACATCCAACTTATCCGATTTTACTACAGTAGTTTATTCATGTAAGAAATTGGGACACGCTTTCTTCTCTAGACTACATAGTCTACTTCTTCATAAAATAGTCTACTTCTTCTACTTCTTTTCTACTGTCTCCACATTCGTCCTTGTACAATTGTTGTGGGCCCGCATTCATTTCTCAATGTCAGTGAGTAGGAAAATTATTTGTTACAAATTTGACTTTTATTGCATGGTGCTGATAAATGTTATGAATTCCCACTTTATCCTCAATATCAAAATTGATTAAAAATAATGTGAAGCATTAAGCTAAGGGTATTTTTGACAAAATGATTATTAAAGTTAGGGTGTCATGGTCTTTTCAATTTTCATATAATAAATGCAGTCTGTCATTGTCTGGAAAATGTATAATGTGAATTTTGATTCCAATCTGCTTTATCTAAATCATTTCCCACGAAAATTGTTTTCATCTGCCGAGTTTCTTCTTCATTGTTTACCTTCATTCTTTACCTCCGCTTCTCTGTAAAACGAGAAAACACCTTTGAAATAGTATAGAAATTAGACACCGGTAATATTTCATGTTTACTTTCATGTACAGTAATATTTTTTTACAAAGAAACTTTTCTATTTGTATTGTAGATTATGGACGATTTTAGCTTCCAATTTTTTTTTGTGGATTTGAACTAAATTTTTTTGCTGTTTATGTGTATAGGTTAGATTACATTAGTTATCTCGTGAAATCGAAGGCTATAGTGGAGAGATCTTTGTCAGGTAAGGGTTTTGAATTTATTATTATTTTTTTTTTGGTCCAATTGATGTTTTGTGCTTCTATGTATAAAATTTTCGAATATGTATGTACTATGTGATTTCATAACTTCCTATGCAAGGATCTCAAATTTGAGCTTCATGCTTTTAAAGTTGAGATGATTTTAAATTTTTTACCCAAACCTTATAAACCTAATTCAATCATTTGCTTTCCCTTATCTTTACTTTACTAACTCTAGAGGGGGAAGAAAGAACTCATCGAGATTCAAGAACCAAAGAAAAAGGAAAACCGGAAAAAAGGAAAACTGGAAGTATTTACCATCTTTATATTTGGATACCACTTCAAACGGTAAAAGTCATAAAAACGGAGAAGTGGAAAAAGGCAACAAGAAACTAAAGCTGGGGGAAATTAGTGTTTTGTAATATACGGTAAGACATGAAATCTTTATTTGAAGAATTACTTTAGTTATATACTTTTTCATTAAAAAGATACTTGGTTAGAGCTCTTTGAGGCATAAATTCATCGATGGAAATCTTTTATTACCTTCAATAGAATATCGAAAGGTGGATACTAAATACTAATGATGAATTTGAGGAAGAACTTGAATTGATACAATCAAATCTTCAAACTTAATAATATGGAATACTATGTGCCATCACTTTTTGTTTTTATTTTTCATTAGTTAATTTACTTTATGTTCAAACAAGTTTGTGGTTATGTTTGTTGTCCTCTTTTAATGTCTAAAAGAACTATTTGATTTTGAGAAGCAAACAATATATTTGTTAGCATGCCATGGTATTGACATTTTCTTTTTGTTAATAGTCTTTTGTATGAAGTACTAGAGGACACTAGGTGGCCTATTTTTTGTATCCTTTGTGGATCCTAACTAGCATTTATCTTTCAATAAAAACATAAGATAAACAGGTTAATATTTTAGATGTGCTTGACACTATTCTCTATATTCCGATGATGTAGGACAACTGTGTAATCTTTTGGTAACGAAATTTCTACATAATTCAGGTATAGTTTCTTTAAACAATATCCATTTTACACTAATTTTTTCAATTTTTCTTAGTGATATGTGAAATATCTTTGAATATTTTTTATATACAACTTTCAATTCTTTTCTTGACTATTTTGTGTATTTCCAATTTTCAACTTGTATATTTTTGCTTCATTACTTTCAATTGCTATCCTGATTCTTTTGTGCACTTCCACTAGTCAACTTATGAATTTATTAAGTTCATGATTTTTGATGAATTACTTACATTATAGATTTAGAAAAATATTGGATGTGTAGGTTGATTGGGAGGGAGCAAAATCACTAAAATTAGAGATGAAAACCTCGTTCCTTTTTGGAAGTCTTTCTCTTCTTCATCTTCAATAGTAGTATAGCAAAAACATTTGCAAAATAATAATAGTCTTTATGTTTAAAAAAAACTCTTCATTTTACAAAACTCATATGAAAATTGTAATGTTTTTTTCTCCTGCATTTAAATCCTACAAGTCTTATTAAAATTTTATTTAGTCAATATTTGAGGCAGCAATGTTTATGTTTATTACTATTGCATTCAAGTAAACGATTTTTGTGATTAAACTTTAGCTTTATGCATGTTTTTAATGTTGTGCAAGTCTGATTAATTTGTGTTTGTCAATTTTTTTCCTATTGTGGAAATTGGTAGTATTAATATATTTTTTTTTGTTATTTCATTTACTAAAATGAATTTTTTTAAATTAAATTAGGTGAAGTTTTGTTCTCCATGAATTCTTCAAAAACATATGTTGATCAAGAATCTAGATTTTGTAACATTGATGGTACTTCTCAAAATACAAGTAAATCATATACTGCCTTTATTCGCCAACAACAAAATCAAAGACAGGCGGATAGGAGGAATTGAATTCAAACTTTACGCATTGATCTTCGTAAAAGGATAAATGATTCTACATTATTTGAAAATAAATAATTTAGGTGCTTCCCATGCTCAGAAGTTTACAGTTCCTCCTATTTTCCAGACTTCCACTTCAAATCAAGAATCGACTAATATTGTTCATTCTAAAGTACGGGAATTTTCTAACCTATTGAACATACCAACTAATGCATATGTATTATCGACATGGAACTACTGTGAATATTGTGGTGCACAAAAATTTTATCGAGAAACTAAAGGGTTTTGTTGTTCTGATGGAAAAGTTAAACTTTATATGCCTGATTCACCGACTGAATTGTATGATTTATTTACTTCTAAAGAACCTGAATGCATGGAATTTAAGAAAAGTGCATGTGGATATAATAACCATTTTGCTTTCACTTCGTTTGGTGTAAAATGTGATAAAGAACTTATTAGAACATATAAAGGTATTTACACTTTCAGAGTTCAGGGACAAGTATATCATTATGTGAATCAACTTATGCCAGAAAATAATAAGCCTTCTTATGTGCAGTTATATTTTTATGATACAGATAACGAAATTGAAAATCGTATGAAAATTTTAGAAAATTTTGTTGAATCTACTTTGATCATTTTGATTGAAATCTTGAAAGTAAATCCATATAGTAGATTCTTTAGGTCTTTAAGTAATATGACTAATTTGCATGACCATCGAATACAAATAAGATGCGATCCTGGACTTGATCAAAAAGTCTTCAATACTCCTTTGGCATCTCAAGTAGCTATTGTATGGGTTGAGGATGATGACAATGCAAATATTCATGCTCGTGATATTACTGTATATGGTCATTCTGGTAATTCACATAAGGTTCATTATTATTATGGTTGTTATGATCCTTTGCAATATCCTTTACTTTTCACATTTGGAGAATCTGGTTGGCATGAAGGTATTCAAAGATACCAAAAGACATATTTTGAAAGTCAAAATTTAGCTGACTGCATAGCTTTTCTTAGCGCAGTAAATTTTGCAACCGAAATCATTGAAAAAGAG